GGATTTGATTTAGGATTAGGGTTTGGTTTAGGATTTAGGGTTTAGTTAGGATTTGATCTAAGATAAGGATTTGGTTAGGATTTGATTTAGAATTGGTAAGGATTTGATTTAGGATTTAGGATTTGATTAGGGTTTGATTTAGGATATAGGATTTTATTTGAATTTGTTTAGGGTTTTAGATTTAGTTAGTTTTTGGCCTAAAGTTTGAATGAAGTCCAATAGGATTTTAAGTAGGATTAAATTAAGATTGAATTGAGATATATTTGTGATCATTTTAATATTTCTTTAAGATTTTTTATTCTTTCTTTGTAATTCCTTTGAGGTTTCTTTGAATTTGATTAAAGCTTGCTTAGTATTATTATGGTTTAATTAGAATTTAGTTAGTATTCTATTAGAGTTAGGATTTTGTTGTTGCAATTTCTATTCTACCTTCCACAGTCATGTACTCAGAGCATTCTCAAGCAAGACTTTACATATTATGACAACGGCAAGATTCTTTCTTATTAATACATAACAATATCATAAACTACCTAATAATATCATTTTTAATCAAGGACCTAAATTTTTATTAAAGTTTTGGATATTCTTTTTTGAAATATTAAAAGTGGATATCAAACTTTTTTTTGTCTTCTATCTTCAAACAAATGGTCAAATATAATAAATCAATGAAGTTATGGAGCAGTATTTCTAATATACCATCAACTATCAATAAGATGATTGGACCTCATATTTATCTTTAGCAGAGTTTGCTTATAATAATATTCTTCATTCTTTAACTTAATAAACATCATTTTACTCTAATTATAATTACCATAAAAAGCTTGATTTGTTAGATACATCAAAGGATGAAAATTGAGTAATTGAAGATTTTATCAAACAATTGTCACAACTCTAGACAACTTTGAAGCTCCATTTACAAGCACCTCAAGATTCTCACAATGTATTTTTAAACGAATTTTGATAGAAATCTCCTACTTTTTAAGTTAGAAATAAAATATGATTTCTTTGACAAAATATCAAGACCAATGGATCTTGTAATAAGTTGGACTACCAAAGTCCAAGGCCATTTTGTATTTAAGAGCAAATCAATCTAATAGCTTATCAGTTGGAATTATCTACATCTATAAAAATACATTCAATCTTTCATATTTTTCTCTTAGAAGCATATTTAGAATCAACTATTCTAGGAAGAATACAACCATCATAGCCTTGTATTAAAATAGATAATCATATAGAATATGAGATAGAAAAGATATTTGATTATCAACAAAAAAGAAACAAGTTGGAGTATTTTATTCATTGGCATAGCTACAATATCAACGAGCATATGTAAGAATGTGCAAAAAATCTAGATAATGTGTTGCAAAAGATATAGGAGTTTCATCAATGCTATCTTCAAAAACCTAAACTTATTTTAAAATGACTTTTTTATGAAGCTTGTGCTAGGATGTTGCATATAATAAGAAAGTAGATATAAAATTGATGTTCCTCATGGAACTTGAAGTTAGAAAGGAATGTGATGCTACAAACATCCAACAAGAAGATTTGAAGAATATTATTAAAATATTCTATTAAGTTCTAGAAGGTTTCAAAAGATTCTTAGAAGATTTTTTGAATATTTTAGCAAGTTTGAAAATTTTCTAAGAAGATTAAAGAAGTTATCCAATAAGCTTTCTAAGATTGCTTCAGCTTCAAGCAACAAGGAAACTTCTTGAAAAGCTTGCTTGACAACATATCTTTTAGAGTTCTAGTTCATCTCTCTTGATATTGATCTTGTACTCATTTGATTAAATCAAGTTCTTATTAGTTTTCTTGTTAAAACTCTTTCCTTAAACTTCTTATTTGGTCTCTCATGTAGTGTATTTGTGACATTATCAATGTTCTATAAAGTGCATTAAAAATCTTTTAATCATCTTTCTTATCTTTATATATTATTATTTTTCTTATATATTTTTTAATATGCACATAATTATAACAAGTAATATCTATTTGATTATCTATACAATATGTAGATTTAATGAACTTTTTCTACTTTTGTATTACTGAAAATTAATGTTAAGTATTAAAAGGTTTGATATTATTATAGATTGTTCTTTTATATATAATCATAATGTTTTTTACTTGACTATTTTTATTTTTATTTTATCTCCAAATGAACTTAAAATTAAAGTGTTATAGGATGTTTTAACTTGCATTTTATACCACTATTAATCTATAATTTGAAGACATTTCATAAGATTTATTGTGCAACTCTTTATGATAAGCATCTATCATAGAATATTAATTAATTTTGTATCAAATTATGATGCTTCTACAAGACTTAGTATTATCCCTCTAAGAAATTTTGACTAGATTTTGTTTTGTTTTAAGGTGTGATACAACCCAAAATTACCGAAAGGCAACAGTTCAAGTAACTTTGATTAAGCTGTATAATAATTCTAAAACAACTCAAAGACTTAAAATACTTGGAAAAGTGAAGTAAGGATTTTTCCAGTACTGCCACAGTGCCAAGTGATGTTTGCAAGATCTTCTTTTCATAGTTTATCTGTTTAAATAATATAATGTTTAAAATAATGTCAAAATTTGAAATAATACATACTGGTCATTTCTATATTATCATTAATCTTCGGATTTCTTCTATGGAACAAATGCCTCAGCCAGTGTGATAGGTTGTCAGTATGAAGGTGCAGAATGCAGCCATATTATAATGATGATTTAATGCAGTTCGGATGAGAATGCGAACATGAACGAGTCAGCAATCTCTATATGCAATGAAAAGGGTCGAATGTGAGTTTTGAGTTGTTCCAACATGATGAGCTGACTGAAGGGTAGGTGGAAAGGTGTCCCACCCTTTACAAGCCTTCTTTGAATTCCCCAGTAGTTGCCAATGTGGGTACTGGATGTGGCAGTGTGGGAGATACGGTAGGCACATAGATTCTCGGTGTTTCCAAACATGTCTGCAGAATCTGTGAGCTCACAACCGAGGCCTGCATGTGCTACAACTACTGATCCGCAATAACATGATGGAGGTTGCAGAACAGGAGAGATGGCACTGAGAAATGGTCAGTGAACTCGATAAGATAGACGATCATAGTAAAATACAAACGCTAAGTGAACTTGATGATATAGACTTGTACAAACCAGGAAAACCAGCACCAACAGAATGCAAGCGAATTGTGGGTAATAAAAATAATGCTTGGATTTCTTAACTACTGTACAAGAGCTCGGGTATAGTTACTGATAAAATACATGAGGCCTCGCGTCACAGAATCAGTGTTTGATCCCGAGAGAGTGCTTTATCCCCTGGCAACATCTCCCACCAGCGCTTACACCTGAGTCACTCCCTGAATCCATGTTTTTAGGCAATTTGTAACCGAAATTATGTGGCTTGGATCTTCGATATTTCAAAGGTCCTGTAGTAACGATAACATTGCCGAACCCCCACCACACCATGGCTAAAGAGAATCCTGTGGGGTCCTCAGGTACAATATCTTTTAGTATCCTAGAAGACGTTCCTCTGCAGATGACAAGACGAGTCAGCAATGGAGAAGGACGAATAGTTTCCCTAGTTAGGCGATGATGCTATTCAGAAGCACAGCCTTGGAAATCAGGACCACATTCTTTCGGATTGTGCCTCGTTTGTAGAGCTCAGGGTCGTAAAACCCAGCGTAGCATTAAAAACCTCCACCTGTCAAAATATGACGTGGCCGCTGATGTAGAAATCTTTGCATGGATGCATGTGAGAAAGATGGCGAAAAGAATCAAGTCGAAGTGAAAATTCACTGTTGAGAGGGCCTCAACAGCATCCGATCATGAAGCTCGGCTCTCAACAATTCTGACGCTCCATACTGACCGGGATAATAATTACAGACTCCCTGATCCAATACAGTATCAATACTCACAAGCGTAGGAGTCTGTATTGCATAACGTATGTGTAATTACTGCACCTCACATCCTCGCAACTCATGCACCCAACAGTTTCTTCACGCCTGATTTCTGCTCACTGCTCAACCTGGTTGGGAAAACAACGTCGAACTTGATCCGCAAATTTCCTTTTCTCCCTGATTCCTTTGCTACCGGCATACCCTCCTTGGGGATCACCTTCTCATAACCCGGAGTGATGACGTCGGAAATGCTAACGCTCAGCGTTCTGCCGTCTAGAGCCAGAAGTGAGAAACTGCACCCTGTTAGAGCCTCCACCAGCGATATTTTCTTCGAGACAATTAGGTCATTACCATCGCGTTTGTACGTCATGTGGGGTTTATCTTCAATTACGAACACCAAATCCCCAGGCGTTACCCCCAATTGCCCGTTGCCCTTCTCAGCGAAGGTAATTTTCGTTCCTTTCTTCCAACCAGGCTTAATATCGATAGTGAGGATCTCCTCTGCAGGGACGATCCTGCCGCTGGCATCGGGAACGCTCCTGGAGATCTTCATCTTCCTCGTCGATCCTTTGTAAAGCTCCTCTAGACTGCAGAGAAGTTTGTTCGACACAGCAGGAGCCTTTCGCTGCGGAGGGGGAGCATCACCGAACGACCTGAATCCCTGACTTCCATCAGTCGTGCGAAACATGCTGTCACCACTGCCAAAACCGCCATACATCCCACCTCCCCTCCCACCCATACCGCCTATGCCTCCAAACGGGCTCGCACTTCCAAAAAACTCTGCGAAAATATCCTCAGCATTCCTTGGATTAAACCTAAACGATTGTGCCGCTCCACCATTTGCAAAACCATGCGATGAACCAGGAGGAGGCATGCCACCTTTCAACCCCTCCTCTCCCTCCTGATCGTAAATCTGGCGCTTCTGCGGATCACTCAACACATCATACGCCTCCGATATCTGCTTAAACTTAGCCTCTGCCTCCTTCTTACTATTCGGATTCTTATCGGGATGCCATCTCATCGCCAGCTTCCGATACGCCCTCTTCAAATCATCCACGGTTGCCGTCCTCGGCACCTTCAACACGCTGTAATAATCCACCCCCATCTCCCCACCCTCTACCTCCTCTTCCTCCTTCCTCTTTCTCTTCTTCCCACCTCCGCCACTCCCCGCACCCGAATCAGCCACTCTCACCAACTCTCAGCACCCGAAGAACACCACCAACTCACCGACCACGACTCACTCCGCGACTCTTAAAACTGTTATTCGCAATCGTAACAACATCACTCCTCAATTCTTAATTTTAAAAAAAAAAAACGCAATGGAAAACCAACTCTCTGCACATTGTACAAACCGACGACGGGGGCGTGCGACTCCGATCGAATCGCCACCACGCCGTAGCGATGGAGTCAAATACAAAAATCCTACACGAGAATCCCAACAGACGATAATGCTACATGCAATACAACAACAACAACAACAACAACGACCACGCCAATGTCAACAACGATAACAGCAACAGCCTTCTTACATTCGAGACAGGGAGTGTCTAGAATCTTCTACAGTACAAGACTCTACGAGCTTCGTCTTCATCGTCTTCATCGTCGTCTTCTTCGTCTTCATCGTCGTCTTCTTCGTCTTCATCGTCGTCTTCTTCGTCTTCATCGTCGTCTTCTTCGTCTTCATCGTCGTCTTCTTCGTCTTCTTCATCCTCTTAACCTAATTCTGGAGTGCCGGGGAACAAGAGTCCGTACCCAAGAGCTTCGTTCTCGTGGGTGAGATCCATGCGTTCCAACGACCTCGCCCCGCTCGTCTGACTCGATGGGGGGTGGTGGTGGTGGTGGAGATGTGAGTGTGAGAGTTTGCGTGTTTCTGGAGGCCCCGTGACTGGGCCGGCGATTCCTGCAATTCGACATCGCCTAGTCCAATCTCTGCGGGATTCTGGGGAGTCGAACTGCCACTCCTGTGTCAGCTTGACTGGGGAAATCGCTGCAGACTGAACAGATTTGGACCACTGCTCCTGCTTCGAACTTCACGTGGATTATCGCTTTCATCGACTGCTAAGGAAAAATTCTTCTCGCCCTCCTGTCGTTTCCTGCCAGTCGCAGGGGAGGGGAGACGCTTTCCAAGTCGTACTACTACTGCGTTGTCTGTGGTAACCTTCTCCGGCGGTAGTTTCTTCGTCCCAGGGAGAGAAACAGTGAGAGTGCACTGTTTTGCGCTAGTGTCATCGGACTTGTTACACAAATGCTCTTGTGAGCGATTGAAGCACGCGCTTAATCGGCATTACAAACACAACTTGCACACAGTCTCCGGTGTTTCTTCTTCTTCTTCGATTGAACATCGCATTGCCTGCGTGTATCTCTACCGCTCTCTCTCGTACTCTCTCGAAGGCGATGCTTGTAACCCTAAAAGGGAAGAATTTAGGGTTTGATTTTCCCCTCTGGCAAGGGCCTTAAATTTTGATTAGAAAGAAATTAGCGAGTAGAATGACAGCGTGCAAAGGAAACGAAACATCATTTTAGATAAATCAGAAGTAGCTATAGTGATGTGACGAAGTTTCAACATGAGTGAAAACTCTTGCATGACATTAACACTTAAATCCTATTGGGATTAGTGTTCACACAAACATAGATTTATTTTTTTATTTTTTATTTTTTTAATCCTTCGGTTTTGCAAATCTCTATGCGTTGTATATGTTATGTTATAAAATACTTGGGTGCCATGTGTTTCTATTTATATATATATAAGTTAATAAAGTTTATACATTATTTTAGATAAGTGCAACAGTGATGCTTTTACCAAAATCTAACGTAAATTAGGTGAATATCCCATTGAATGGTGGTTTAGATACAAGTTGTCTCTATCTAGAATATTGTGCTGGAAGATATTCCATTAGATTTTGTCGTCACACAATAATCTTTCTCTCATAATTAGTTATTGTTTATTATAAACAATCTACATGTGTCCTGTGTAATTAGGACTCTGAGTGAAAGTGTTTTAGACTATATTTCATGTTAACAATTTGAAAAAATTACAAATGATTTGTTTCATACGGAAATTACCATCTAATTGGATGTAACTTTCTTCAAGCAATTGGCAAATTAACAAAACATTCAAATAGTTCATTGCAAGAACCTTTTGTTTTTGCACACAGATTGCATATCATAATTGAGATTCATCTATATGTTTATTATAAATATTGATTGACTGTAAAAATAGGACCCACCATTTCATTCAGATCATGATAATAACTTACTATATAAAAGCCTCCAATTGACAAACGCCCTTTAGTGTTACTGAAGATCAATGAATGAGCTAAAGATTATACTGAAAGTTCTTAAAGCAAGTGTCAAAAATAAATAATTGGATTGCTTAACTACTAGATACTTTGTGGAGACTAAAGCGAGGTTGATAACAAAATTTGTCAATTCTAGAATAATAAATATGTATTGCACGTTATTAATATTGTTATTATTATTATTTTCCTAAAGATTTCAACCACTAGTTGTAATTTTACATATCGATGTAAAATTTGTTTTCTGTATTTATTTCTTTTTTAACTTTTAAAGTACCAATTCACTACAATATTTATCATCCTTAGTGTGGCGTGATTTCTGCGTGATTTCTGTTGTATGCTGTTTTAGTGAAATCGATTTTTATTTATTTTTTTCTGTATATATGTATATATATAAATATGTTCTTTAATTTTTCTAGTCTATGTAATGATTTTGTCAAGTTTTGTTTTGTTTAAGAAGTACTCAAACAAGCATAATTATTTCATTAACATTAGATCATGACAACTAATATCATTGCTTGATGTTGTCATAAATTATGGCCATAAAGTCCAACATTTTATGATTTTACATGTTCAAATAATTTGGATTCATGTATATTTGTGTATATATATATATATATATATACATATATATTAGATTTTGGTAATGTCATCATAGTTTTTGCTATTGCCACCACAAGATGCCCTGAATTTGAATTGCATGCCACACTACACTTTATGGAACATTGCTAATGCACATCACAATACACTTTGTGAAACAATGCTTATAAATGCATATTTTAATATTCTATAAAGTGCATTATTGTATACAAAACAAATTTAGGGCAGTTTGTAGTGGTAGTAGCAAAAACTGCGATGACATTAACATCACTCTCTTTCTCTCTCTATACATAAGTGTTGTAGCATTTTGTCACTAGTAGAACAAATGTTTTTACTTCATCATATGAATTCTAAACAATTTGATTTACTCAAAATCTTTTGAACTTCCCATCTACATTAAGTGATATTTTATATATTTTATAATTTTAATATTAAAAAATGTGTTATTTTCGGATGCAAGTATATGAAATTAGAGATGATGCAAAGGTGTTTACATCCATGCAGGATCTTTTTTGCAGCACTGTATCAAGGTAGTCAAGCATATGATATAGTCCAGAATGTACAACCATGAGATCTTCATTACACAAGATTTCCCATTGAATTTAACACCCTAAACCATGTGAATGAACATATAATTTTCTCAGATTATTGAAATTTACAACAACTAAGAAAAAACTAACCAAAAGAAGTAGGAAATGAATCACTTTTAGTTTTTATCACCCAATTTCAGAGGTGAAACACAATGCTACAAAATGTTAATATTGTTAGTATTGAGAAAATATCATTCACATGAGCAGTATAGTTAATTTGTTTTTCTATCAGATGGATTTAAAAAAAATTATATTCCGAAATAGTAATAAATAATAATAATGCATATTTTCAATATCTCTTTTTTCTTTTTGCATGCATACATGACAGATATTGTTACATACATGTACATATATAGCTTATGGTTTTTGAAGTAATTCAAATGTTGCTTGTGCAATTGAGTGTTGGAACAACAAGGATTTTATTTTTATTTTATTCTTATTATGGAAATCACATAACAGTATATCTATACTAATAGTTTGTAATCTTCTTTTGGTAAATTCTTGTAGACATGCAAATTAATGTAAATTTACTTGCAAGCACATCGAAAGTCAGCGTGGTGAAATCCACAACGAAATAACATTCGTGTTCAGCATCAATGTAGTTTTCCAAATTTCACTTAACTTTAATTGCTATTATTATTTACTTATTTATTTATGTTACTATATATATATATATATATATATAATGAAAAACGTACTGCTAACGTTGCAACCAGTTGCAAAAGACAAGGGCATAAACTACTAGAACTAGAGACAACTTTATTAATCGACGTGCAAATAAAACCAATTCAGACCCACATCCAGTCGCCGTTCGTTCATCCACGTACATACTCATCCATCAAAGGATCGAACATCCATCTACGAGTATTCATCCACCAGCGTCGTGGTGGTGGTTTTCGACGCCGCGCGGGGTGGGGAAGAGGGGGAGCCGAACTGGACCACGGGCTCCGCCAAATTTAGGGGGAGAAGCGGCGGAGTCCTGGTGAGAATCTTCAGGGCCTCCGTGCCTTGCCCTGCGTGCGTGCTTCATCACGCTCGAGCAACGACATCCAGCAAGCAAGCAGCTCTTCGCCTCTGCAATGAGCTAACTAGCTGCCCCTCATCGCTCAAGGGGGCCAACCGTTCGACGACACCACAATAACACCAACAATCTAGCCAGCAGTCGCGCTTGCTGAGATCGCCATTGAAGCTGTGTGCTCGTCCATTTCTTCGCCGCACTTGAGTCGCGTGCCGCTGCTTTTGTCGCTGTGATTTAGGGGTTGGGCCGCAGCCATGGCGTTGCTGGGTTCACGCTGCCGGCTCTCGGGCCTGTCCCGTCGGCTCTTGTCGACCCGCGCAGCATCGTCGGTAGGGAGTAATAGCTATGGCGCGTCGCGCCGATCGTTCTCTAGCGACAGCGAGGAGGAGAAGATCATCACGGCTACCTTGTTTCCGGGTGATGGCATTGGGCCCGAGATCGCTGTTTCCGTGAAGGAGGTGAGGGGTGGTGTGCGTTCGTTTTTTCCGGAATTTGCGATGTTGCAATTTGGATTCCAGTAGTTTGCGATCTTTTTGGGGTGGTGGTTTACGTGGGGAGATGAGATGAGATGAGCTTGGAATTCGTTGGGTAATCTTCTTTGGAAATTCCCCCCTCATGTGAAATCTTTGTGGGTACTTCGTTTAGTTCTAAGTTCGGGCGTTCAGCATGTTGCCTGCCCTGCGGTAATCGAGATGGTTTCAAAGGCCGGAATTTGCTATCTGATTCTTGCAGATTTTCGCTGCCGCGAAAGCCCCAATTGAATGGGATGAGCATTGGGTGGGTACTAAAGTTGACCCGCGAACTGGCAGCTTTCTCACTTGGGAAAGCATGGAATCTGTGCGGAGGAACGGAGTAGGTCTGAAGGGCCCCATGACCACTCCCATCGGCAAGGGTTTCAAGTCCCTCAACTTGACCCTAAGGAAGGAGCTTGGTTTGTATTCGAATGTCAGACCATGTCTGAGCATCCCAGGGTACAGGACACGCTATGACAATGTTGACCTAGTTACCATCCGAGAAAATACTGAAGGCGAGTACAGTGGTTTGGAGCATCAGGTGAGTTCTGGATACTGCAAGTGTTGGATTGTATTCGGAATTCTACATTCTTAGGGTTTTTGTTTTAAGCGAAACGAGCTTCGAGTGCTACTAGGGTAATGTGTACTTTGTCGCTGGGTTTTATGTTTGTACTGTTTGGAACGATGCTTCCATTGTGCTACGAACTCGATGTAGGCTTGGTCTTATATGATTAAGGATTATGGTTTATGTGAACCAGTAACGCGCCTTTTTTTTTTTTTTTTTTTTTTTTTTTTTGGAAGATTTGGATGTCCTGTGAACAAGAATGTGGTAAGCAGATATATCAAGCTCCACGTTTGTTTGCGTTATCAGGTGGTGAGGGGAGTGGTGGAGAGCATAAAAATTATCACCAGGAATGCCAGTTTGCGTGTGGCTAAATACGCATTCCATTATGCTCGGCTACATGGCAGGAAGCGAGTCTCTGCCATTCATAAAGCAAATATCATGAAGAAGACTGATGGACTGTTTTTGGAGGTATTTATCTCGAAGTTGGACCCGTAGGTTGCATTGTTGTCCAGTATTGGTGTATAACCGAGGTGGTCTACAGAGGCCCTTATCACTGAGGTGAATTCGATTCAGCTTTAAAATCACTTGAGCAGCGGGTAATTTTAAAGATGTAACAGCTGACATGACATAAATAACTCGAGGGATGTTACAGTGTTGTAGGGAAGTAGCTGCGGAGTATCCTGACATTGTGTATGAAGAAGTTATCATCGACAATTGCTGCATGATGGTGAGTCTTCCATACTTTGTGCGTTTGAATTGACTGTATATCCTACAATCTAATTGACAGTCTTAAAATCAGGCATACTTAAAAACGAGGTCTTCAAGGACCCCTTACTTTGTACTACTATTCAATATCCCAGTGTTTGGTGCTGTCAGAATGCACTGATAAAGAGTTAAACTTGCAGTAGTAATTGCTACGGTAGGGTTTCTGGTAGATGTTTGTGGGCCAATTGGTTTTCTTGAGTACCATGAGCTTTCTCTACATCCAGTATGATTTCTGGAACAACAACACCTTTGCAACAAATTATTTGAAGCTTGATATCCTTGAATCCATTTATGTCATAAAAAATTTCCACAATTTGCTGGCCTTGAGAATATGCTATTCATCCATTTCCCTTCGACTGTTTTTAGTGTGTGTATGAATATGATCGTTATCCTGACGATGACGTAATCTAATATTTCTTAAACGTGCCTTGCACTTGTACAGTTGGTGAAGAACCCATCATTGTTTGATGTGTTGGTGATGCCTAATCTTTATGGTGATATCATCAGCGATTTATGTGCTGGACTTATTGGCGGTTTAGGATTGACCCCTAGGTAAGTTTAGCCTCTCAAAGCTTACATCGACCTTCGATCACATTCCTCAGCTGTGAGGATTGGTTTTCACCACAACAAAAGTAGTAGCTAGGATTTAAGCCTCATTGATCGCCAGTCCTTTTGGAAATGTTTGCATAAAAAGTGTCACCGAAACCTTAGATTTTCTCGTCCGTGCACATGCAGTGGTTTAAACTTAAGTGAATTACTGGTGTCTTTTGGGGCTTGAAAAAGTTCACAAGTTTTGTGCCGCTCTTAGGAATCTGCTGCGTGAAAATCATGCATTGATTTTGGACAGTGAAGCTGATTATGGTGTGTTATTTGAGTTCTGGGTAATAGTGGAAATATTGGAGACAATGGATTGGCCTTGATGGAAGCCGTTCACGGAACAGCTCCTGATATCGCTGGCAAGGTTGTTTTCTTCACCATCGCTTTTTCTCTTGCCTCTATGTCCCCTTGATTGTGGTCGTGCATGATGTAACTCAATTAGTACCTCCTCGTCAGGCCTTAGCAAGTGTTCATATTAGAATACTTTGCACTTTCTGGCATTTCTATTTATCCTTTCTATGCACAAAGTCTTTATTGTATGTTTGTGATGTGTTGAGGATGTTAAATTGAGGTGATGGACATAGTAGAAAAAAGGGGTGGCAGCACCTTTTACCTGGTGCGGTAATTTGTGTCGAGTTCTGAAGCAGTTTCACTAACGTGGAATATGGACTTGAATGTTTTTTCTTTGTAAAAAAACAGAATATGGCCAATCCGACGGCCCTGTTGTTGAGCTCTGTGATGATGCTGCATCATCTGAAGTTGCACAACCACGCAGATCAAATTCACAACGCTGTACTCAAAACGATTTCAGAGGGGAAGTATCTTACGTCTGATCTTGGTGGCAAGTCTACCACCACTGACTACACCAAGGCACTCATTGACAACCTTTGAGCTATTTATGACATTCTCTACCAGGAATGGCTCGTGTGCTTTGATCAGCATTGTATTGGGGGTGCTTCTACGACGATATTAATTCCAGGAGTTCCCAAAATCTTACGAAGATAAATTAGGAGTATGAATACAAAGCAAGTGGCAACTTGTGAATAAATACTCCCTTGGCTGATATTGTTAGCAAGGATGAAGGTTCATCTAGCACCGGGTGGTTCACATTATCATGAATGGGGGCTCTTGCACTTTCCTTCTGTGCGCCAATGGGCACATTTGGGGGCATTGTAATTTTGTACTGTGTTCTCTGATCAGTAAATCATTATTTCTCTGCACTCCGGAAACTTTTCCCCTCCTTTGTCGGCATACTATACCACAGGTTTCGATGTTTACTGGTTGACCTCCAGATTTGCAGGTTAGCAGGATAACCTTTGCGTTTAGCCATTTTTGGAAACTTTTTCGTTTTTTCCACTTGATCAAATGGAGAAAATCATCATTGTAGGCAATGAATCCAGGACTGTTGACCACTTTGTATTTGGTACATTTTCTTACAGGACTCTGTATTCGCCACCCTGGTTATAGTGAGAACCCTTTCTCTCTTTTCTTTTTCTACGGTTTCTGTTTACTGTTTTGTTTCGTTGGTTCGTTTGTTTTGTTTTGTACATTGTCGTCTTTGTCCTCTTATTGCAGTTACAAGGTACACAACAAACAAAGTAGCGTTGATAAACACGCGGATCATTGCGATAACAGGATGTTAGGTCTAGTGAGAGTGAGGAAATATTCACGATCATTGTGCTTGGAACAATATGTATTCCTCGATGCTGTAGAATTGTTACAGTATCATTCTACTGTTCACAGTTGCAGTACTTACACACAGCTAACGAACTGTCTAGGTCCCAAAGGACACCGCTAGGAACGACTCAATCCTAGAAGATCCACTGTTTGTGCACCCAAACCCCCAATTGTGCGCATTTATGTACATTCACAAATGAATCTAAACTCCAAACTCTGATCTCTACAATAAATGCGGAGATATAGAAAGAAAACGATCAGAACCAAGGTAGTGACAGAAACAGACACCGTGGTCTCCACTCGCAACAGAGAATCAGGCTCACAGTGCTGGCGGCCTTAACTTGAACCCAAGTATCAGCCTAGAATAGAAGACACAAATCACCGTGTTCCAGCAAGGCTCCTGTCTGAAGCGGTGACTTGCAGTGGCAAATTTGCACACGACCAAAGCCCAGGAAATTGGCGGGCGCCGCATTGGGCTATGGCGATCTTTGTGTCGGCAAAGTCCCCACCTTCATATCTGCATCGCCATCCTAGCTTTGTCCTGTCTCCTTGTTGCTCTGATTTGGCCTTCTCCGAGTCGCACTTCGGTCGGGCTTTGTGCCCATCACCCAATTCTGTGCGTCGATCTCTGGTTGACTAGTTTCGGACTGCATGCGCAACGAGCGACGGAGTTTCATAGAAGAGGGTTCATTGATTTGTATGTCTCGGAGGGTGGAGAGAATTTGTTTAGCGGAATTGATTGATACTCTGGGGCGGACTTCCGCGTGTTTTGGGGTTGTGGTGTGGTGGCTCTTCTCCGTTGGAGAGGTTTCGGAGATGGCGGCGTGCGTAGCAGCGTGCGCTGCGAAGGAATTTGTCGCCGGGGTGCGAGATTGGAGGACTGAGAGCGCCGTAAGGTGGAGTTGGGATGGGAAGGCTCCGGGAGCAGTGGCGTTGTTGGCGAGAGGAGAGGGAATTGGGAGGATGAAGCAGGGGCGAATTGTCGTGAAGTATTCAGAGGATAAGTTGGTTGTGGAAGGAAGATGGAGTAGCGGCATTAGCAGGGCGCAGATACAATTAGATGAGTTGGGGAATGAGGTGGAGAGAGGCGAGGAGGGCCAATAATGGTCGCCTTCTCCCGATGCGATCAAGGCGTCTGGTTGCTCGAAGTCTGAGAATGGAGCTTCACTTGGTGCTGATAACAGTGTGATTGAGGTGGCCACGAACAGATCCACTGAAAACAGTGCTGTTAAGGTGTCTTCGATGGTTGCTGGGGGACCGAGCAATGGTGGGGCCGCGGTGTTCTGGAATAAAAGCACATTGTCAAATGGGAGTCGTAGCAGTAACGGATCATCTGATGGAGGAGCGAACGGCTCCAGCCGTGCTCCCACAAACGGAGCAGGTCGTGCCACTGTAGACGCGATTAAAGACGTGAAAGCTGTGTCCAAAGTGAAGACGATCAAGGAAGAAGATCCATGGTTTAAGAAAGCAACATCTTCACATTCCAAGGTGTGAAATATATTGTGCCTTCTTTTCTTGGTTGCGCAAAGGTGAGGGTTCTCTCATCGAGGGCGGAGAATGCATAGTGTGTGTAGTTATCGACATTTTACTCTTTATTCTCATGCATTCCATGGAACCCTCCCGCGTATAACTCGACATTCTTAACGCTTAGATAAGGTTTCATGTTTACGTTAGAGCACGTATACCTCATTTCTGAATCGTTTTTGCATTTCCAAGAAAATGAGGGTTGGGTTTATTGGTTATGGCATGTCAGAGCAGGACTGCCACTGCTCTAAATTTTGCTTAAAGGAGATTGCTGAAGGGATTTTTGGTGTTTAAATTCGGTGATCTACGGTGATACCCTTGTTTGTGTGGTTTCATTTATCCAAGACCCTTGTGTATAGAAAAATAGATCTGGTGCTTCGGACGATCTTGTGGTGTAGGCGAGAGGAGTTTTTCATTTTTTCATTTTTATTTTTATGAACAAGTGATAGTCATTTATGAATCCATTATAGATGTTTGATTTTGCGGTTTTTAGCAAGTCTCTGGATCTGTGAACCGATTGTGGAGCAGGAACGTGCCAATAACGAACTTCCCTGATGTCTTATACAACACCTTTTATTCTGTACATGCGATGAGTTTCGAACGGATAAACCTGTAGTATTGTCTATAGGATGGTTATGTTCTAGCCCGTTTACAGTTTGGTATGAGCAGAATCCTTGTCTAATAAATTTTGAATGTCAGGATTGTATCGAAGCAGATTCCTTTTCACAGACTGCACTTCTGATGCAAACGATTTGCTATCTGAAATTTGCTGTTCGGCATCAGCTACTAACCGTTTAAGTAGGTAACTTTTAAAAGAGAGTTAGTTGATGATTTTTAAAATGCACTGCAGATACAAATTATTCATTTGCTGCTGAGTACTGAACCTAGTGCATCATTATGTCTCAAACAGGTCTCCGTTGCTCCTGGAGGGGGGTGGAATAAGTTCAAGACCTACTCCACAATTCAACGGTCTTTGGAAATTTGGGGGTTCGTAATCACCTTTCTCTTCAAATGGTGGGTTAACAATCAAAAATTTATGTACAAAGGTACATATTATTCGCCTGCTTTTTTTCTTTTTGTCATTTCTTTGTGCGGATTGGTTCACCTTGGGAAATCAGGATGTAAATGAAGAGGTTTTAAGAATCTTGGGAGTTGTAAAGGCTTTTGGGGGCGAATTGAAAAAAATGGATTGTTATGCGATGCTCAGGTGGAATGACAGAGTTGAAGAAGCGGCAGAAACGCAAGGTTCTCGCGACATGGTTAAAGGAGGGTTTGTTGCGCCTTGGACCAACTTTCATCAAAATTGGTCAACAGTTCTCAACACGAGTTGATATTCTTGCCAAGGAATATGTTGACGAACTAGCTGAGCTGCAGGTCCGTTGAAATTATCACAATGTGTAAAAGTACAAACATAGTTGTGACTGTATCTAGTTTACATATTGGATAGGCATCCTGTACTGTTGTTACTGTGTGAAATTCACTGCGAACATTTTGTGATGTGCAGGATCAAGTTCCTCCGTTTAGCTCGGATACTGCACTGCAGATTGTAGAGGAAGAATTAGGCCGGCCTGTGGATCTTATTTTTGATCAGTTCGATCGTGATCCAATTGCTGCTGCTAGTCTTGGTACGTGTTTTTCAAAATTGGAAGATCTTGAGTTTGGCGCCTCCCATGTGTGTTTAACAGGAAACTTAACACTGAGAGTTTGTACTCAGGTCAAGTGCATAGAGCGAAACTTCGTGGCAGGGAAGTCGTCGTTTAAGTACAACGACCAGGCCTTAAAGCTCTTTTTGATATCGACCTCAAGAATTTGCGGGTTAGTCCCATCTTGTTTACCCCATCACTGTGGTGTGCTTCGCATGTTTTTGTCTAGATATAATTTTGTCAATCCTACTTCGGTGCTGAAAAAAAATACGACATCTTGAAGCAAAGCACTAAACGAACTGGCAGACATTTATCTACTCCTAATGCCGATAACTTGGTAAGTGCTTCGGGTCATCACTAGTGTTTAAATCATGGTTTCTTACGTACTTCAGAAAATGGTTTCTTTAGGTTCAGCCTTTTTGCGACACTGTTGTTAATATTGCTCTTCTGTTTGTGGACATGTAAGCTGACCATCGTATTTCATGAAGCTGTGAAAATAAAAATGTTTTGTTGCTTTCTTTGTTTGCTGGAGGAATCCTAAATTCTATCTTCTTGAGGCTTATTTTCTACTTTGTTCTTGGTCGTAGCTCAAAATTTGCAAAAAATTGATCCCAAGTCAGATGGAGCAAAGAGAGATTGGGTTGCAATATACGACGAGTGTGCAAATGTACTATATGAGGTTTGCAGCTGCATTTAAACAACGTTAAGAGTTTAAAAACTCTTTTAGTTGAAAGTGTCTTACATTGGTATATGTATGACCAAAACATACTTGAAATACATCGATCAATGTAATTGATCACGTGTTTGCGAATGTTGCACGAAGGTCAAAGCATGGTTCTCGATTTTTTACAGATTGTTATTTTGGTTAGGAAATCGACTACACTAAAGAAGCTACCAATGCAGAAAGATTTGCGTTTAATTTCAGGGATATGCCATATGTCAAGGTTCCCGCAATGTATCGGGAGTTTAGCACCCCCCAGGTTTGCAATAGATGAAGAAGTCTTATTTTATTTATCTATTTACTTATTTATCTGATTAGTTAAATTAATTTCAAACTTTATTTTTTAAAATTTGTCTCATTTTAATTTTCAAATTCACGATTCTACCACTGGCAAAAACATGTGTAGAAAGTTAGATTTTGTTAAAACACTTCTGGAGAATCATTTACCTTGAACTACCAATCTGACATGTTCTCTGCTAGTGCTCGATTCAACTTTTGTATGGGACAGGTTCTAGTCATGGAGTATGTACCTGGAATCAAAATCAACCGGATAGCTGCTTTGGATGAGCTTGGAGTTGATCGGAATAGGTGTTACGATTGTACACTTAACATTCATGTAGAGAAAGATGAAAGACCCACATACCCTTTCATTTTT